TTTAGTGCTGGATCAGGGCCCCACCAGATACTGGTATTGGTATTGGTGCAACACTAGTGGTAACTAAGATTTTTAAGGAAAAAAACAATAGGTATATACAAAAATAACTAATCTACAGTACAATTAACAAATAAACATAAGTAAAAAATGTAAAGTAGACAAATAGAATTACAATAACCATTTAAATGAGGATTTTGAAGGTTTTATTTCAATGATCTAAAAGAAGAATACATCCAAAATAGAGGTTTTTTGGAGAATAATGATGAGCACCAAAAAAATGCAGAGAAAATGTTTTAGCTGTGATAAACAAATTCTGAATTACTTTAAAGATAAAGACTTTGAACTATATTTTATGACTTTTCATCTCTTAGGAAGACATGCACTTTTCTAAATGTATTCTATAAACCAATCCAAACAGCTTTGCAACTCTGTGAACTCCGCTCTTTAGAAAGATGTTACACTAAAATAGAACAAAGTTGTTTTTTCTGGAAAATGCGCAGAAACAGCAAGTGATTTATGAGATTACTGAGTGAAGTGGGTTTACTCTTGTAAGAACCCACAAAGCCACTTCCCACACAGTGAAATGCTTCCAATATATTAAGTACAAGCTTTACATTACACTTTCAAAATACACCAAACTTTAAAAAGCTTAATATGTCATGATATGCAGTAAATGGGGAAACAATGCATGACAAATTAAGTTTCCCCACCTTTGGGAGCCTTCACAGTACTTTTCAGTTCCTAAATGAAGCTCTGTAAGCTGGCTCCTGGGCCTCAAATCTCCCTCACATGAGGCTGAGCCACATGACTGCTTGCGCTTACTGGAGAGAGCGCTCAGGAGGGGAGAGCAGCAGGTCAGAGGATTCATCTAAACCTCAGCCGACATTCATGTGACATTGAGGCTGTTGCAGCCTTCAGGTTTATCATCATGCCCACCAGCATTCCAGCCCCAAAAGGCATCTTTATTCCTCATTTATGCTAAATAATGCATTCAAATGGCGTAAATACACAACAAACCATATTGGTAGGTATAAAGATCACAGTGGTGAAAAATGTAAACAATCCAAGCTATCTTGATATCAATATGTACCCATATAAAATTGAATTAACTGGAAAATATGATGGCAAAGCAAAAAATGGCTATTTCATACATGTGAGGTGTTAAAAAGAAATACTATCAGCGAAGCATCATAAAAACTACACAGAAGAGCCTGACAACATCAGCGAAATATCAAATATGTTAAATGTGAATACAACCTGTGTGTGGTATTGGTTTTGAAACAGTTTCATTAGAAGACTGGGGAACACCAGAAGAGATTAAAATGTTTAAAAAAAAAATTACAGTACACATACTGACATATGCTGCATGTGCTCCCATTTAGTTCTGTAAAATATAATCGCATTTTAGGCCTAAATGAATAAAGGATAATGTTTTTTTCTGAACTAAACATTTTACAATTTATTTTCAGTTTACAGTAATAGAGTTCAGGTTTTATCAGTCTGTGTACTTTACATTGTTGAAATAAAGATGGTCAAACTCAGTCTACATTTCTTATAAACTGAGGAAAATCCATTTAGTTTAAGCATAGAAAGGGAAGCCATTAGATATCAACTTCAGTCACACCTGCCAGCCCTGATAAACAGTAATTCCCCTAAAAAACATGTATTAAAAAAAAGATTATAAAAGCAGAAATTTCATTTCATTTGGACACAATTGGCTGATAACTCTCTCTCTCTTTTTTTAAACCCGGGTTTTCATGCTTAACCCCATTAGCCACAACATTCATGTCAAAGAGCATCTTTGTCCTGAAAGAACTAAGCCTCGTTTGTTAATATGACTTAAATAATTATTTTATTTCTTACCTGAAATGAAAAACGTTTCTTATCAAGTGTATTCTTAAATAAAAAAAATAATGGTTATTGGTTTTATTTCTTTTCTAATAGGGAACTAGTTCACAATTTGCTCAAAAACTCTCAAGTATGATTTTTTTTTCACGTCTACATGACATGAAGCAAAAAAAAGTTTTTGATTGCTGTTGGTTTTATTAAAGACAAACAAATATAGCTTTGAACATAAGTAAGCCACAAGCTTAATCTTTGCTTCACTTTTTTTCCAAAGATAAAAGTATGGCTATATTTAAATATGCAACAATTTATCTACAAAAAAAGTATTGTATTCTTTTAAAAATACTTTAAGATAAATTGAAGAATTAAAGTAGAAAATCAGCTCGGCCTCTTGTTTTGCCTCCTTCCCTTACTGTGCGCCGTGCGTAAAAGTTGGCACCGTACCTGCGATGTCCCACAGCTGCAGACGCACCGTCTCCTGGTCCCAGGTGAGGACTTTGAGGGCAAAGTCCACCCCGATGGTGGCGCGGTAGTTGGGGCTGAAGTTGTGATGCACATACCGCTTGATGATGCTGGTCTTCCCGACACCGAGGTCTCCTATAACCAGTATTTTGTAGAGGCGCTCCTTATGGTGGTTGTTCTGCATGGCGACCGAGGAGGGCGAGAGCTGAGCATGAATCCACCGTAACGGAGAGGACTCGGAGGATGAACCGGGTGGTAAATAATCACGTAGGGTAAAAATCACTGAGAGAGAAGTGGAGAGCTAGGGTTGTGGAATGAGAAGGGGAGGTTAACGCCCTGGCCCCTCAGAGACAAAGACGTCTGGACCTTGTGACTGAGGAAGGGCCGCAACATGCTGCTGCTGCTGCCTGGGAGTAACTGAGCTTAACTACTGTACGAAAACAAACCAGGATTTACCAAAATCTCTCCTGAGGAAAGGAAATTAACAATTAGGCTACTTCTAAACCAACAAGGGTGGAAATAGTACTAAAATGAAAAAGCAACTTTTTGGTCCTGTAAACATTACTTCAAAATGACACATTTTTAATGTATTACTTAGAATTCAGTTCATTTTATTTATATAGCGCCAATTCACAACACATGTCATCTCAAGGCACTTTACAGTTCACCAGATCATACAGTCAAATTGAAAGATTCAAAGTTTTCTATCTAAGGAAAACCAGTTGATTGCATTGACTCATTGGCTCCAATGCAATCCCTCACACTAAGCATGCTTGTAGCGACAGTGGAGAGGAAAAACTCCCTTTTAACAGGAAGAAACCTACAGCAGAACCAGGCTCAGTGTGAGCGGCCATCTGCCGAGGCCGACTGGGGTTCAAGGAGACAGAAGCAGAGATACAAAAAGGCAGCTGTATAAGGCGGCCGTCCAGGAAACATACAGCCAGTCAGATAAACAGGACTACACTGTAAAACATGAGTTAACATATAAAAACAAAGGTGTTGAAAGCAGCAGCACAGCTGATATTTCTCTCCATGAATGTGACATAGCCAAATAGGAAGAGAGGAGGCGAAGCTACTATGAGAAAAAGCAGAGAGAGCAGAACGTTAGAGCTTAAACTAACAGATTCTGCAGAGGGAGAATAGAGACAGAATGAAGCAGAATGATGAAAAAGGGGTCCCTATGTCCTCCAGTAGTCTAAGCCTATAGCAGCATAACTATAAAGATAGCTCAGGATAACCTGAGCCACTCTACCTATAAGCTTTATCAACAAGGAATGTTTTAAGCCTAGTCTTAAAAGTAGACAGGTAGTTGGTTCCACAGGAGAGGAGCCCGATAACTAAAAGATCTGCCTCCCATTCTACTTTTAGAAATTCTAGGAACCACTAGTCAACCTGCAGATTGAGAACAAAGTGCTCTGTTAGGAAGATAAGGAACAATCATATCTCTGATATAAGATGGAGCTTGGCCATTTAAGGCTTTATATGTGAGAAGGAGGATTTTAAATTCTATTCTGGATTTAACAGGAAAATTATGAGAAAACACTGACCACAATGCTTCAATTTTGTAACTATGCAATATTTTGTGTTATCACATAAAATCTTCAAATAGTTTATAATTGCAATGTGAAACAATGAAAGTGATGGTAAGTAAACTGTTCTTATATAACATTTACATGTTAATATCCCACAAAAAGCAAGATCAGATATAAATGAATGATTGCGCTTTAACAATGCCCTGTAAACACCCCTGATTAATTAGGTCTCTGTACGAGCTCTGCTGATTAAACAGCATCAGAAATGAACCCACCCAGAAACGACAGACTACCAAATACCACAGGCAGGAGTTCACATATACAGCTTGTAATGATTGATCAACACCAGCGAATGTCAGCTAGTTTGAACGAGCGGGTAATTTCTGAAAGATGCCTTTTGCTGATAAATACACATCCCAGCACCTACGTTCTGAAAATTAGCCCCTGAAAAACTGTTGTTACTGATTATTGAAAGAGGTGACACAAGCTTTTCATAACCAGGTTTTTCTTTGTTTTATTGCAAGTTAAAAGAAGTAGAAGGAATCAATTTGACTTTTGTTGCGAAAGGAAGGGGATTTCCAAACAAAATCAATATGACAATTTACCAAAAATGAAAAAAAAAAACAGAAAAGAAAAAGACACATAACTACTCAATGTAGCTGCAATGTGTTGATATCCCTTTATTGAGAGAAATTCCCTTCAAATGCTCCACAGGGAGCAATCCACAGTAAAACATGGCAGTAATGTCGCCTTGAAGCAGGAACTAAAGATATATAAATTCTCTGCAGTGCTTCCCTGAGACAGAGAAAAATCAAAGTCCTGCACCTGACAATTGTTCAAAACAAACAGTAAATCATTTCCCTTTTAAATGTCCTGTCACAGCATGACCCATCCATTTAGTTCTGTGTTTGTGTTGACAGTTACAGCATGAATCATAGGAGGCAGCTAACAATCAACTGCACTAAAAATCAGCAAAAATATAAAAAGGACAAAACAGCTACTGGATGAAAACACAGAATTCCACATCGAGAAGCAAATCAACTGAATTCAGCTCATTAAAATTTGAAAGAAGAGGCTGTAAACTAATAGCTGGTGCAATTTAAAAAAATCCTACAAACTAGTTATCAAATAAAAAGCTTTTTATATATATATATATATATATATTGTGTTTTAACACTGTTTTCATTCGATGATAGCTTTTCCATTCCATAATTTTGAGTCACTTCTGTAAACATTTCTAAATTTCAAAACTGTTAATTGTTGCTACATTCTTAGGGTTAATGTGTTTAAAACCGAAACACAGGATTTCCATTCAACTTAATCAGTAACTTTTCATGCATTTATGCATGTGCTGGTTAAACCAGTCCGGTTCTATGTGACCAATTACAGCTCTGTATCTTCTACCTAGATTAAAACAGCATACATGACATTTAAAGGATTCAGAATTGTGATCAAGGTACTAATTTATCCAGATCTGGACTTTAAAGCTTCTACATTTTGGGGATGGGTCTGGCTGCAACTGCAATGCTCTCGATGGCGCACTCGTCGCTTCCCCGGCGAATTCGGAAGTAGCCCTCCTCGCCCCATCCGCTGCCCCAGCTGTTCTTCACTATCCAGTACTTCTGCCCGGTCTTGTGGCAGCGGCCATAGCCCACCAGCAGCACGGCATGGTTGGTCAGCTCAAAGGGATTAATGGAGTCTGCGAGGCCAGTGTGGTGGTAGATGCCTTCCTTGTAGTGCATGAAGTCAGGGTAGACCTGTAGACAAATACAAAAAAAGTTTTTAAAAACAAAAAACTATCCACTGGACTTGGTTTCCAAGTTTGAAGATGTTTCGTGTTTCATCCAGGAAGCTTTTTCAATTCAAAATGTCAGAATTAGCATCGAGTTCAAAGCTTCATATAGTAGCCAAAAAACTCATTTTGGCTTTGAAAAAAAGGAAATTGAACCAGAAGAACAGGTTAGGAATGGGGAGTCGTTTTGGATCCTTTGTTAGCCTACAATACCAGAAACCTGTCCATGTCTCTGAAATGAGGTCGTTAGGGGCAACTGTTGGCTTGGCTTCTGTAGAGAAATACTAATTCATTAAAACTCACCTTCTCTTTATGACTTTGATTCATTGGGTAAAAGCCAAGCGATTTATCTGGTGACATATCTGTGCTATACAATTTATTGAAATACCTTGCCGTAAAAAAAACAATGTTTTTAAATGAACAGAAATTGGACGATTATTTCAATAATCGGTTAATCGGTTATGCAATGAACAGAAGAGCTTTTCTAAGATACAATAAGTGTCACTTTGTATGTTGCATCTTCATTTATTTGATTTGTTTGTCCTACATCCTGTATTTTGTACGATGCCCTAGAAAACCATTAAATCATTACATTTACATTTTCATAATCCTAAAGCACAAAAATTGACTTTATTGGGATTTTGTGTGATAGCCTTGAAAAAATTGGTTTAAAATGTTTCACATTTTTTTTATTTGGCATGCGTGACACTGGTTTTTAATTTATTTTTTAATTATTTAATTCTTTAGGATTTAAAATAGATTTACCAGGAAAATATACAGATTTAATCTGCATAAGTTGATTCTACAAAGGTCTGAGTCAATATCTACTCACGTCAAAGATTTTTTAAATATTCTGAAACGCCTTTTTCCCCCACACGGTCATTTGCTATTTTTTGCAGTTCTATTAGATTAAGATCTAAATTAAAGGTATGTTCAGTAAATGCAATGGGACAAAAAAAAGCTGTGTGATTAATGACAGAAACAGAAACACTAAGTGTAAATGATAAAGATCTATGGCTAGAATGCATTCTATGAACGATGAGTTAAGAAAAAAGAAATGACCTTTTACCAAAAAAACAAAACAAAACAAAAAAAGCTTCTTTTTTGCTGTTCTAAAGTTTAACCTAAAAATGATCTCCACTTTCCAGATCTAAACTGCAATGCTAAGTTCTGCATAGGAACGTCAAAGTCAACATTCAGCAGGTTGTCGTACCTCCAAAGCAACTGCCATCGGTCCATTGTTGACCAGCTCAGTCATCATGGCCACCTCACTGCAGCCACCGTAGAATCCACCCACATACCCGTACTCTGCTGTGTACATTTGGCCGCAGTTTTGAGGAAGGTCACATGGAGAGTCCTTTGCAGTGTAAGGAAAGCAAGACTCGTCCACAATGCCGAAATCCTGTACATACTTCCCTATCAGGTAGGGAAAGCCCCCATCGCAACCTTCAAAAGATGAGAAATGTAAACTTTTAACAATTATTCTTTTAAAATGCTCGAGTCAAGCAGCAGTAAGGACACCATCTGAAAACCCTTAAAACAAGACTATCCGATTTTAGTTTTGCTTTCTTTTGACATTTTGATCTGTTTATTTTATAACTAACATCAGATGTATATATAAAAAAACTTTAAAAAAAAACACCAAATATCTTCCTTTTGTACTCCAAAAACATTCAATTTATATTTGTAATCATCTACTGCATGAAAAGAGTGATAAGACAGGTCTTAGGAACCATAACTTCCAGATCCTTAGTTTACCTTGGGAGTATTCAGAGCAGGAGACCACCTGCTGAGGGCTGAGGACGGGGGCATCGCTGTTGTTTGTAAGGATTCGAACTCGAGCCTCCAGCATTCCCATCGTGGCGAATGAGTAACAGCTTCCACAGGAGGCTAGATTACAAAAAAAATTACATTTACAAAAACTGAGCAATTTTGACATAATTTATCCCAAACATGTTAACAGGAGATGAACAAGGAAATCAACTAATAACCAAAATCAGCTGATTTAATGGTTTCGGAAATCGACTATTCAGAAACTGGATACTTTTCAATCAGTGCTGGGAGACTCTACTGAGTGGAATAAACTCAATGCTGCTCTGATTCTGGGTTATCAAGATTGAAGGAAGTACAGATATTTAAAAAAAATAATGTAATTTCTATAAATTTCAGTTTTGACATTTACTTTAACACTGGCCTAGACTCTCACTCTATCATTTTAAAATATATATTAGCATACAACCCACTTGGATAGCTGTAACAATAAAATCAACGATAGTAAAAATAAAAAGAAGTTTCAGATGATCCGTCAAACTCACTGAAACAGAGATATTAGAAACTCCAACTAAATTAAATAACACTCTAGAGTAGTTAGTGCAGTTAAGTTAAGATTTTAAATAATGTTTTAAAAAGTTGACAGCATCTTGTTTGTAAAAAAGAAATATTTACAGCTTGAATGCTGAGACTGTTATATATTTTGACTGCGGAAATAAACTTAAGAAAGAAAGTTTTACATGTACAGTAATATCACTGGGATAGTTACATTCATGCATCTTAAATACACATATTCAATATTTTCATACAAACTGTTGTGAATTCTAACTCATTAACCAAGATCTAAAACGTTTACATCATGGAGACATGTCCATGGGTAAATTAGGCTGTTGGAGAGCGAGAAAAGAAGGCTCTGGGAGGCTGTATGGAGTCCAGCAACGTATCCCTGCTTTAACCTTTGAACATACAGTCTCCATCTGTCCATGGTGGATTTATAAATGTTTGCAGCCTTTTGGAAATCTCAGGGTTAAGATAATGATCTGTTTTTTCTAGGACATACAGAAGGCGAAGTTTTGCAATGTTTTCTGCCTAAACCATACTAATCTCTAATCCCTCCCAAATCTCATTGTATTTGTCACAGAATATAATGACAATAAAGGCTTTTTGACTTTGACTTTTGACTAATGCTAAAGATGCTAAAGTCAGATTTTTTTCTGCAACCCATACAAATAATTAAGGCTATAAAAGACCTTTTTTAGAACAGGTTTTTTGAATTGGATTATACTTCTAGAAAAGAAGTAAAAATCAACAAAAAACATTAGCAGCAGTAAGGCTTTAAAAAAGTGAAGGAAGTAGATGCCAGTGCCATCAGGTTTTAATCGGAACATCTCCAGTATAAATAAGGATGGAAATCACTGCTGGAACTGACCGACTGCTCTGTAACGACTCATTTGCTCACGCAATACATTTTACCGTTCAGCACTGAATACGTCTCCAACGCTTCTTCCACAGCATGCTTATCTAACAGAGAATGACTACATACCCATAGAACAAGGCACAAACACGCATTAAACAATGCTGGTATACATGATGTCAAGCATTAGGTTGCTCATGAAATGTTTTACAGGAACAAAGTGGGTTGAGGAACAGGGGCTGCGTGCCTGGCAATTTAATTGCAATAATGATTCAAAGAGTGACATAGGACACCCCTCAGCTTCTTGGTATAAATAAAGTGCAATAGACTATTAGTTAAATTAAAAAGCTGCAAAAAATGGGAAGCTCTGATGCTGTAGTTAATGAGATGACCTAGAAGCGAGGCCAAAGAAAATGTATTTACTAACAAGACAGAGAGTTACGGTGGTTTCATGGCACAAGATCACATTTAAAGGAATTAAAAATCACATTTCCAATTTCTTTTCCGAGGATAAGTCAATGGTTTCTTTCATACGCAGGCAGGCGCATTAAGTCACTGCATCCACGTGTCACTGGTCTCCCATCAGAACGGGTTGCACATCAAAAGACTGTGGTATTTACTCATGATTACTGCTCAAACTGATATGACAGATTAAGAGTTGTTCAGATTCTACTGTGTTCTTTAACTTCTTTGACAAGGGTTATGTTCAGTGTGTTATTCCCTCAGGCAGCGGGGATTTTCAAAGACAGCCTGATCTACAGAAAGCCTGTAGATCAGACACTTAGACCCCACTATGGTTGTTTTCCAGTTTTATTTTTTCATAATGCTTCGCACCACAAGGCACTGCTCCTGGTGAGGAAATTCTCCGAAGGTTCAAAACATTTCCCATGCAAGACCACATCGGATCATTGGAAAGATAAATTATTTACACAGCATGTTAACCCTAAGGGTGAAGAGCTGTCAGGAGCAGGGTGGGGAGAGGGATTACAAGGCTTTAGATTCCTAAGCAGAGCACACAATATCGGACAGGAAAACAAAGCAAAGAAATGCTTTACAAACAGAGTCAGTGGGGCAATATTAGACTTTAGGCTTGATTATGCAAGGACATTTATCGATCATCTCATACAGACGTTTGGTCCTAGGTAAAAAGCTTCCTCTTCGATGTGTTGAAGTAAACTCCAGACTTATTAACCCCCCCCCCAACTAACTCAAAAGATAAAGGAACAGAAGGACAGAGTAAATACTATCAGCCACTGTTAGCATGAATGAGTTATCACGGTGTAAACGTAAAGCCCCGCTGCAGAAATCTCTTTCCATCCTGACTGCAACATCTTGGCCGTTTCTCAATTCACAAGAACATGAGTACGGGCTGGAGTTCTCCCCAAGTATGTTCCTGACAAGAACACAGGAAAGTATAGATTCTGGGAGAACGGGAGCACGCAGCATAAGTATAGGCCAATAGGAATAGAAGCATACTTGTGATGCCACCACACGCTTGGCTTTTCTGGAGGTGCATTTCACCTCCTGTTCTCAATAACCTCTAGATAATAATAAGTTCTTACTTCTTTCATTTAGTGGGGCAATATTAATGAAGATAAACACAAATTAAATGATTATTTTGCAAAATAAAACAAACGAAAAAAAAAAAAATCTGAATTAGAGCCAGTTGTACTTTACACACGGCTATGCCGAGAGGCCTGCTGCAGACGTCTTAACGTTAGACCAGGCTGCTGTTAGCCTCGGAGGTCCGCTGGTTGATTGAACTTTATTGATCTCATGTGGGTTGCCATCGTGGGGCGCCCGGGGAGCAATCAGGGGTTAAGGGCCACCACTTTCCGCGGTCCCCTCAACATCATACCTTTTTTTAATTACGCACTATATCAGTAAATGAGCCATATAGTTACACTTAAAAGTATAATGGTCCTGCCTTGGATTATGTCAAAACATACTTTTATAGAACAACTGCAACAGAAAAGTTAACTTTTAACTTAATACTGAGCTCTGTGAGCTCTACACCGGAAGCTGCTGCTGCTGCGGTGCATGCTGGGCCAGCTGTCAATCTGGAGAATGATTAGTCTGCTCTGATGCATACTGGGTAAAGAGGGAGGGGTGAGAACAACATCCGGGGACTTTGTCCGTTCTCAGTCTTGTGTTCTTGTGAATTGGAACAGTACAGGGGCTGAGGCTGAGGACGTTTCACAAGCACATGAGAACATGTACTTACATTGAGAAATGCCCGTTATTTCTTTTCTGCAGCTGGAAACACGTTATAGAAGTATCTGCTTATTCAAAAGGCACAGGGAAGCAGGAAATGTATATTTGATATCATGATCATTTGTTGAGATAAGTCACATGCAAGACATGTAGATTGGATTCGGTATGTAGATACTTCCACATGTTAGAGCCATTCATTACACAAGCAAGATCAATGCATCTTGAACCCAATAGATGCTGTGAGAACCTCACTATAGAAAATCTGGACTAGACTCATGCAATAAAACAAGATAAGATCCATAACCCTGCACACGAGCTTAAGGGCTATTCTATTCAAGCTCTTAGGATTTCTGCAGATACTTAAACCCAAACCTGTAGAGACCCTCTTAGATACTCAAAGTGCTCAGTCCCTGTAATCGCTGCACTCACACACAACAGTGTGCAGAAAACAGGAAGAGAGCAGCGAGCAGACCCAAACGCGCAGAGAGGGAAGGAGGCAAATTGAGTGATAAGATGCTTCTGAGGGGAAACCATTACTGGCAGCTGTCAAATATAAACCTGCCTCTGATGCTTTAGGCTATGCTGTTAGAAGTGCTTGCAATTTTTAGTTCCTTTAAAGTAAAAAAAATAAATCCCTTTGATTGTCACTTTAACTTGGTTTAAAAAAAATGAAATGAAATGCATTATTAAAGATAAGAAATTATTAAAATTTAATTATTTATTTGAAATCTAATAATTTGTTCTAAAAGCAAACCAATTAACCAAAGTAGCAATTATATTTTTTCCCCCCTCTATTTGTGTGAGACAACAATGAAAGGTCACCTTGATTTCTGACAGGGCTAACAAAGCTGACGCCATTAATGTTTCTCCAGTCCCAGTGCTCAGGGAGAGCTGCCGCCATCTTGGCTAAACCAGCCTCCACAGGGGCAGGCCGAACCCGCCTGAAGCAGTAAAAGAGGAAGAAGGTTTAAAGGGATATATCTCTGACACATCTACGGCAAGCAAACAGAAATTCAGTCAACTAAAATCCAAATTCATGTTAAAAAGACTTTTATACCAGCCTATCACACAAAGATGATACAACTATTAGCGCACTAAATCACTCACACAGGGATACGGGAGGCGGGGCCTCCTGCTCTGTAATGCAGTTCCTTTAGAGTGTACATCTCATGCTCGGGATACGCCACGGCCTTCCAGGAGCTCTGAACCGTGTTGATTAAATCAATGAAGTCCAGGTTGTGTTTGTATGGCTTCGGGAGCAGTCTGAGGGGGGAAATAATACAAAAGGTGATGAAGATGAAGGTAAAGAGCATTTAAACACACAGGAGATTTTCAGGTTTGGTTTAGTGTTCAGATAAAATCTGCAGTTAAATCTAATGATTAGAATAGGTGTTCTGTTTAGGGTCATTTTGTCAGAGTGAAGTAAAGAAGCTGTAGAAAATATCACACACTAGTATATATATATATATATATATGTATATATATATATATATATATATATATATATATATATATATATATATATATATATATATATATATATATATATATATATATATATATATATATATATATATACATATATATATAAAATAATATTCTACATGACTGTACTTTCAGTACAAGCATTTAATCAATCATTTTAACTATGAAATTAATATATTGAAATCAATTAATATATTGAAATCAAACAGCTGTCTTTAACCTAATAAGATAACAAAATGGGCCTTCTATTACAAATAGGGCTGAAATATTTAATCTGATTAATTGATTATTGAAATAATCGTCCAATTTAGTTAATTGTTAACTGGAGTATAGAGGCTGTTAAATATGCCTGTAGCTGACAGAGCAATCCAACTAGAGCAGTAATTATACCAGGATTGTAATTAAATGTCTAAACATTTTGCATCTAAAAGAAAAAAAATATATATATATATTTTCATCTGTCAATTTGCTCTATCAAGAACCCCTCCAGTTTTAGTTTCACCTGATTTAATTTCGTTTAAAAAAAATCTTCTTTAAGGAACCTTTGGTATTAATCTAAAAAATTTAAACATAAGATTAAATGGTTTAGAATAAAAAAAACATTTAAAAGGAACACATGCTATTTTCATTTCTGGTTACTTTCTTCCACTGCAAAAATAATAAACTAAAAACTTTATTAAAGATATATGGATGTTCTCCCAATTAACATTTTTATAAACTGCTAATATCATTACTTTTATTGAAGATAGCAGTTGTTTCAGCTTTTCTCTTACTTGTGTTTAAATATGTTGTGCTTGTCAGCTTTTTTTCCTAATCCCATGTTTTGGGTTGAACCACACTGTTCATTTCCATCTTTTAAAGATTACCTTTTGATGCCGTCTGTCTGAGCACATCCATGCCTTAGGCATACCGTCCATTTTAAACTAAAATGTGATTATATCTGAGCAACTTGGCCTGAATTGCAGAGTAATACTGTATCTATACCTAATCATTCTCCTCATCAAACACTAGCAGAAGACAAACCATGTTGAAAAGATTACTCATCAAGCTGCCAAAAACCTTCAGTAGCTAATCTTGAATCTTGCAGTTAGAAATCTACTTAATTTAATCAATGGGTAAATCATTACCACAGGGACAAAGTTCCTTGGTTTATACATTAAAATTACTTTTTTGTAAAAGGAAAGTTCGGCTGTTTTGTATTAGTAGTCTTACAATGTGTGTGAGAAGAACAGAAAAAATAGGTTTATTAGTTATAAACTTCCTGCAAATAAAACTTTTGCCTTTAACTCCTCATTACAGTGAGCAACTTTCTGCAACTAAGTTTGCTCAAGCTTTTATCATCAATCAAACATCAGATAGTTAGATAAGGTATTTTCACTCACACCAGAAGAAGGAATGGGGGAAGGGATAGTACAGAATGAAGCAGAAATGTCAAACGTGCACTTTAGCTTTTATCGTCTTCCGCTCGACCCATTACAAGCTGATTACTTTTTGGAGTCCCTTACATTATGTTTTAGTAAAGTAGTCCAAATTTGTCATAATTGAGATACCCGGTGCTGAAGACAGGCTTGGGATCCACTTTGGGTGGCACAGGCTTCACCTTCTTGCCCACAAAACAGGCCCAGTTGCGTCCCAGGACGTCATGGACCCATCCTGGGAGGGTTTGGTCACAATAGCTGGTCACCTTTGAGCCATCCTGGGTGTACTGTAAGATTCAGCAGAGGTGTAGATTATGGCTCTTTTTTTTATAAACCCATACACAGCATCCTTTTGCTAAACTTGCCTTTAAAAATGCAAAACTTGCACTTTTAAAGGCAAATATAGAGCCAGTCATAACTTTATGTACAAAGGTTAATGTTAAAAATTCAACAGGCTGGTTTGGAAAGACAAGGTACGCTTTTACAAGGCTAGAAGAATATTAACTGACAGGCACGGTTGTGGTAGCATCATGCTAAGGTTACCATTTTCTGCTATTGGTGGTGGAATATCATAGAACGTTACAAAAAATACTCAAGACTGAAAGATCAAATATAAAACTAAATCTAAAACAATGGACCTGAAATCCAGTATAAGTGAAGGTGTAGTAAGTCTATGTGGAAGGGTGTATGAGGAACTGTGACCCATTTTGGAAAAAAGACATTACATACATTCCTATTTTTCCAATTCTTGTTTTTAAAAAGTTATTGAAGTTATTTGTTCTACATTCATTTAACCCCCCCAAAAAGTATTTGTAATGCATCATTAAAAGCCCAACATCTATGATCGTTAAGTCAAAGATACATGGCACTGTAAGCGACTTCAATAAAACCCAAATGGAGTGCCGATTGAGTCATATGTGTGACAAGAACTTCACAAGAAAAAGAAAAAAAAACACCCTGACAGTTATTTCTCTAAACCGAAGATGAGGAAGTTAAATCAGACGTGGACAAGTCAGAACAGAGGCAGGGAAATAAAACATCTGTGACACTTGAGGCTTGGAGTCATGTGAGTGAAAGTAATAACACATGACCAAGGGTTAACTTTAATGACGCTGCTTTTTACATAGTGAACCAATCTTTTGAGATATTATCAGGTATATTGGAAAGGAAATGAGAAGGACTGAAACCAGTTTTTTAAAGCCACAAATGCGGCTCAACCACCACATTTCCATTTACTCAACCCCTTGAAGCCTGAATTGACATACATATACATATAAAAAGACATTTTATGCCTGTTTTTCCCCTTCAATGAGATGGCAAATTAAAATAGTTAGTGTTACTAAATTATAACAGCAGTTATAACTGCATAATAACATACAGTGTGACTAGCACTGAGGTGATGCAAAAACGCTATGGCGGCTGTTTGCTTCACTGCAAAAATTTTCTGAAGATTAGTGAAAATGTCTTAAAATAAGTGTAATCACCCTTAATATGAGTAGGAAAATAAGATGATCTGCCAATGGAATGAACATTTTTACCCTTACAATAAGATAATTAGATATTATGCACTTGAAATAAGAGAGTGCATGTTTTTCTTTCTTATTTTAAATGTACATTGTCTTGTTTCAAAGGCAAAGTGTCTCACTTACCTGCTCAATAAAAAAAGCTCTTATTTTAAGAACAACTGTCTGACTTGCAGTGTAATACAAGAGGTTTGTTGCTTATTAGCAACAACAGGCATCAAAGGGTTAAATACAAGTTTTAGAAGAGAATTAGCTGAGCATCATTATATGAGGCATATGTTTTAGAGCAACATAAACATTCCTAAACTGTTTATTTTATTGTTACCTTGAAAAAGGCAAACCATTTGTAGTCAGAGAGGACCACCTCGAAGCCCTGGTTGTAGATGAGGGTGAAGAAGCCTGTTTGTCCAAGATCATTCGTGGCTACAGACAGTTTCTCCAGGGTCACAGTCACTGTGCTCTCAGTTGTAGCTGAAAAATAAGGTGACATTTAATCATGTGACAAAGTCAATGTTTCCTTCCAGCTATCAGAAGGCAACTATCTTGATGTCATTTTAGTCTTTGACCTGTAGTGTTATTACTTATATATACTGTCAGTTAACAGTTTATCATTTTAGCATTCTTTATATGGAAATTAGGCCTCAGCGTGTCACCTGATATTAAATATAATTCAGCTGTTATTTCGAGGTTGTATTACCTTCTACAGAGCAGTTGACGGACTTGTCGTGTCCTCCTTTGGATACCTGGAACACCCATGTCCCCAGCAGGTCCTCATAGGTGCAGTTAGCCGGTGTGTCCCCCAGAGACCCCTCAACCCAAAGCAGGAACACACACACGACAACAGCGCTGAACCTCATGTTTCACTCACTGAGACCAAACACTGAGAAACAAACAGATGTAAAACCTACAGCGAACACCCTAACCTGTCTGTTACCAGTTCGGCTACCCTCCCACCTAAACTGTTTACGGGTAGAAAGTGGCTCCAACCCGAAGTTTCCCCTCAATTTAAGTTGCTCCGAGAAGATAGTTCACCGCACCTACCTTCGCAATGCGCATGCGCACCAACGGTTCCTTTTGTAGTCAGTCTGATGACCGGAGAAACTTTTGTTTGATAATCTAGCAATAATTTATGAAGATTAGTCCTGTATTCATTAAAATGTTTTAGTCCGCGGTATACTCTTTTTAAGCGTAATGAAATCAGACAAGCACTTAAACACGGGTTTCAACACAAAGGAAATAGGCGACAGCTATTATCTTGCTATCAAGTGTTCTTTGTTTATTTCCCTTTTTAGTTTCGTTTTATCTGGTCATATGACCACTGCTGTTGATTATGGAAGTAAACAGATTGAATGGATTTGTTTTAAAATATGATCAAAGGAGAGCATTGGGTTTAATGTTAAGGCACTAAAATGCACTTAATATCGACTTACAAAAAGTATAGACCAGCCCTATAATACATTAATAATTCAACTAATTTTGTTGTTTGAAAACATCAAAAGTAATACTCAGATATTTAAAGGGGTGATAGAATGATTATAAAGGGTATTTGGTGCTGGTCCTTAAGGTCTCTGAATAGGATGTGTAACATTGGATGGGCTGAAAATGGCATATCTGCTGTTCTATGAGCCCTAATGTACAGAAGAGGATTATGGCCACTTAAAATATGCAAACAAAGTTAAGTGATTTTTTTTAAAAATTTTAAAGTCAGAATTCTAAGGAAAAAAGTCAGAGTTCTTAGATTAAAGTCAGAATTCTAAGAAAAAAGTCAGAATTCTGAGATTAAATTAAGAATTCTGAGAAAAAAGTCATTATTCTGAGAAAAAAGTCAGAATTCCAAGAAAAAGCGTCAGAATTCTGTGATTAAACTCAGAAGTCTTAGAAAAAAGTCAGTATTCCAAGAAAAAAAGTCAGAATTCTAAAATTAAATTCAGAATTCTGAGAAAGAAGTCAGAATTCTGAGACAATTCTGATTTTTTTCTCATATTATACTGAAATAAAAAAACAAAAAATCAGTTAACTTTTTTTTTTTTTTTCAGTGGCCCTAATCCTCTTCCGTACTAATGCAAGCCTGGTTATAAGCCTCAGAATAAAATGACAGGTTTTCTTCCTTTTTTAGGGTATGCTCATGAATATTTAGATGAGCTGTGCTCTGATTGTTTTAGAGGCTTAGCCAGAAAATGTTAATAAGGGTTGGCAGGTAATAACCAATGTCCACTGAGGAGTGGCTGAAAGCGGATAGGTGCCAGAACCTCAGGGTCAATCTACAATGTTCCTAAAGGGAAATGAACAACCACAATATACATATTATCTAAATAAAGACAAACTATACTTTCCTACAGCCTTTTCTAACAAATAAATGCATATATTTAAACATCTATGCTGTCTAAATTAAAGGTATAGTAGACAAAATTCTTTCAGTTTTGAGGTCTGGGGCGAACATCTTATTCATTTTCATTATTGACCTACTTTTATCAATAATCGTTCTGTAAAAAATTAATATTTAAATCTACTAATATCTACATTAAATGGATTTCTTGTTATTAAAATAGTTATTTATCTCTGATTTCAGTGAAGATTCCTAGATGACTTGCAGGCATAATTTTCTCTTTACCCAATATAAGATGAGATCTAATTCTGAAAAGAGCATGAATTAGGTATTTATCATCTTTAATGTTAGTACATTGATGTGCATTATTAACCACAACATTTTAGTTGTCAGCTGATTGTTTACATATAGAAAAATAAAATGTTAAATAAGTTAAAACATTCCACTTGAGAGTATTAATGCTGCCAACGTCTGTAATAGAGGGGAAAAAATGGTAGGGGTGGCCACAGGGGTGGCCAATGATTGGCTAAGGGTGGCCATGGCCACCCCTGGCCCCCCATATAGCTGCGCCCCTGGATTGGTTGGTTTACAATGAGCAAAGCTGCTGAGCAAAGATGCATCATAGCAACAAACACGCACTCACTGTGCTTTGTATCTTATTTTTCAGATTGTTTGAAATCTACAGTTTTATGAAAAAACCTCCTACAATTAGCTATGTATCTTTTGATAAGAGTTTCTTATATTATTTACTGTATTATACAAGGCATAGAAGATATAGACACTGTACAGTCATATATTTTGTTTTAGTTTTGACTTGTAGTATAGGGTCTGGGTTGAAACCAGGTTGGTCCAGTTGTAAAAAATTACATGGAGGTACAGAGCAAAAGAATTAAAGAAAAAAAAATTGAAAAATATTTTGTTATTTCATGAATCAAGAGAGCCAAAGAAACACTCATGGCCCTGGAGACCCTGAACTTGCAAATTAAAATGGTGATCTTGTCTATATGGTGACTTATGTTGTTGTTTATTAAAGCGTTGGTAGGTTGACCTTTTGTGATGTATTCCTTCTCTGCGCCTATTGCCCTGTTATCTCTGTCTCAGCTGGAGCCTGTGAGGCAGCTTCATCATTCATTTTGTTTTTTCTGTGTTCTCTCTTCAGGGTCGAGGCAGTTGAAGCTAGTTCACAGAATAAAACACATCAGATATATACAATACTTAGCTCCAGATGAGTTTAAACTGAGGACATTTTTCTAGAAAATGTGTCTTATATCCCAAAGAATGTTGAAATTATTGATGAAACTCACAGGTGAAGCTTAACAAACTTAAGTATTTATTAATCATCAGAAGTCTTCATGAAGTCTCATCTACACAGGAAATGGTCCTGATGGTCCACTGAGAAACACCTTGATTGACATTAAGACATCCAATTTTATTAATGTAATCAAAGAAATCCTCCTCCAATACTTACTTTTTATTGGCCATGTAATCTATTGTTCTACAGTATATCACAGAATTTGAACGGTCGGGACTCCTCTTTGATTGCCAGAGTATTATCTGAGATATCAGACACAACTATACTGGTGCAAAATGTTACCTGTGTGTTTTTTTTTCTCTTGTGCATAAGTATTTAATTCCACTCACAGCTGTGTTACACACTATTATGGTTTTTGGAATGGAGGGGCAAACCTTCTCTGGCAGCTTAAGGTTTGTTCACACCGAATACGAATTTTGCACCCGGAGAGATCAATTGACATGTTATCCCAACGTTTAGGAAGCGCTGCACTGCAGAGTGAAGCAAAGACTGCAATTCTAGCATTTGAAAGGAACGTTCATTGCAAATACAGCAAAGCGAGAGCCTCAAAGCACCTGCAAAGTGCCCAAAGCAAAATTCAATGGAGTAAAAATATGTAAACTTTTGGTTAACTTTGTGTCATGAACAACAACCAATGAGGGATTAGATGTGGCTGTGATTTAGGGCAAAGGAGGGCAGCAGAGACAAACTATTTTTGATCAAAATGAAAGATAGAGAAAATAGTGTTGTCAAAGAACAAAGTAGGGAATGCACCTAAGAGGGTTGTAGGGACTTTTAAAAAAGCTGTTTTAATTTTTCCCTACAAGAACCCTTAAATATTTATCATTCCTTAAATCTCTCCCAGAGGCCTTTGGAAAAGGCATCAGCCCCCTGCAATGCCACAGGATAAAAATTTATAAAATGTATTGATAAACGTAGCAAAATATATTAAACTCAGTGTTTGTCAGTCGCATTCTTTTTTTTTAGTATTGTTGCAATTGCTATGTAAATTGCATTTCTATCTATTTATGAAAATAACAGTGCTTCACTCAGACAAAGCATTGAAAAGAAAATCTTAAAAAAAATAAACATTATCCCTGGCATTACAGCACAATTCACGATTAAGTCTTCATCAGAAAAAAAAAAACAAACAAATTAAGTGTTAATTCTCTCACAGCTGAAAGGCCTCATTAACTTTCTAAGAGCGTTTGATGGTTTTGTCGTGATCACATCGAATTTTGTTACTCATGCAAGTAAAATGTCTGTTGTTTAGCTGAATACCAGAAACTGCCTATAGAATACTGATAAAAGTTATGTAACATATGTTAGAATAAAGGTTTTAATTTTCTGTACAGACCTTTTCAGAAATATAAAAGTATATTTTTATATAAAAAGTTTGGGTTAATCTATTTAAAGGGGTTGTGATGCCTTATACTCTAAGCAGATGAGGAAAAATAACATTAGCATTAGTTCCTCAGCAATTGACAGTCAGGTGACTATTTAGGTTTTAAGATGTTGCTTACACCATGTTTACATGTCTTTCACCGTCATGTTCATGACGGCCTGTTGTAACAATCTCTGTGGGAGAATTTTCTCCTCCCCTGTCCACCGAAAGAGGTCAGAGAGTCAGCCTGCCTGTTGTCATGTTTGTGTGGGTGTCAATGCCTGCTGATGGCTCTGTTATTAAAGGGGTTAAAGAGCTTATTTTAGCTGGCGGGCACTTAAGGGAAGTACTGGAGGCTTTTATCACCATGGCAACCATGACATGGACTGACTCATCTCCTTGACAGACCATAATAAGCACTCATCTGAAGAAGGGACTGAAGAGGAATTAGTCACGCAGTCTCATTAGTGCCATTACACCGTATATGCGTGGAGGTATGAATGTATGTGATTGCATTACTTTGGGACCATGTGTAGGTTTTTGCTTTTTGGGGATTTTGAGCCTACAATCGAGCACATGTGTGTAAAATAAAGCTAAGAGAGGAGCGGCGAGCTCGGGGGGTGATGCGCCGAATGTTAACAGCCTAAACCCACTAAGCCGCTGTGAGTGACTCATTGAAAGTCGTGTTTCAATCTTGATATAGTTCTCGCTTTCACAGGCAGGAAATTAAAACTCTAGCAACTCTGGGTTCGGCTTTATTGGCAGCCAGAGATTTGTTCTTTGCCTTGCTCCGATTCCTCTCCACCAATTTTACATATTTTTCTTCCTCTCTCATGCCTTTTTGAAACCCTCCATTACTAAAGTGTCTTTTTTGAGGATGATTTTCTCATGTATATCAAGGACCTGTTTGATATGCAGTTAATACAAAGTTTTTTGGTTACTAAATTGATTATGGTATTTAAGACTGTTATTCGTGTTCAGTACTTTGCAAACCTTAAACACCCAATATATACATAGA